ATATATATATATATATAAGAGCTATATTTTTGCTACAATGACCGAAAAAAGAAGTTCTCAAGTTCTCAGTGCATTAAAAATTCTCCCAATCAGGAAATATACCCACCGAAACCTCAATGCATCTTTTCTGAGGTATTTTTTACTGGAATACAAAGACTTTTCCAGGACCAAAAACTAATAAAAATGTTCCAAAACAGTGACGTCCGGTAAATTTTCTTGAAGTATGAGGTCTTCAAGTAGCAAAGCAACCTTGTCCCATTGCGCATACACTTACCACGTCACTCTCTCTCAATCTCTCCAATGTCATTTGCGTAACATAGCGCTAATTGGTAAGAATGACAGGAAAAAAACAAGATGTTGAATTATAGACTATAAGCTAATTTCCATAATTTTCTCACTGTCATTCGTCCAAAACAAGGTAAAAGACTGCTGACAAAAGATTTGACGAAAAAAATCTTAAACAAATAAAAACAACTTGCAAGACAAATATAGATACAACCTTGCGGAAACTGAATAAACGTCCCAGAATCAAAATGTCACGTGATTTTTGTAAATCTTAAAATAAGAGCGCTTAAAAGTCGATAAGAAATAAAAGGGATAACGCGTCTGATGTGATCAAACCCTGAAAGAAGGGTCAAGCATTCGACTTCTTTACGCATCGTTAGGAGTGATTGGATGCATATCTGGCCTATAAAATGACTTCAAATGCATAAACTCAGTGCTGCAATCCTCTGAGACAGGTCCGGTAATAATCTGCAAATCCCGTAATCTGCATCTGCAGAAGTATGGAAGGCTTGGTTAGCTCGGACCGTGTTATCGAACCATCGGCCATGCACACATGTGTACAGCAGGTCACCTCTAACCATTGCCTCAAAGCGTTTAAAAATTCAAAATAAAGAAGTGTAGTGTGGAAAGTTTCAAACTAGCAGATGATGAAAAGTCAGATACCTCGTAGAATCACAATTAAAATACCAAGCCATGTTTCACATGCATATAATTCAATTCATAATGCATAATCAATTTTCTACGAGTTAGCCTAGTTTTACCAGCAAAAGAGCATTCCTAACTCTTTAGCGCTTTCCAGTACGTTTCGTACAGACGACACCTAGTAATTATCGCAGACAGAACTGTTTGACAAAGCTAGGATTATCGTGGCGCAATATTGACTATTAGATCGATCCGATACGATCGAAAAGATTCCCTTTAAACAATCTTCTCAGAAGGACATTATCTTCAAATCATTTGATAATGCATGATTTCATATTCAAAGCCGAAGAACTTTACTAGTTACAGCTGACTGCTGTTTGAGATAGATTTCCTCGTACCGTTTTCCTGAACAGTTACGCAGCAGATTTCGAGAACTGTTGCTCTTACTCCTGATGAAGAAGCAACACTCATTCAGTGTGCAAAATTATTCCTCGGTGGGAATTTTAGCACTTTGGTACTAGTCACTAGTAACCTTGTATGACTTTCCTATTCTTTACCTTCAGCTCAGTGAACCGTTTCTTATCCCATAATTACATAATGAGCTAATGGCCTACAGTATGCGACGTTATGGTGTTGAAATAAAAAGGGAAGAGTGGAATGATTTCACAACCACCATTGCTAGAGAATAGGGGGCGTACAGTACAGTGGTAGTGATGTCCGTAATCACGGGCATAGTGCTAGTTCAATTCCGCTCCGGGCCAACCAAGCCTCTCATCTCCCCGGGGTCGTGAAGTTGGTACTGGACTTGTCTGGGGGAAAACACCCTCTGCAATCCAATTGGTAACGTTCCAGCCCGGCTATCTCAGGACTCCAGCGAGAAGTTCTCGACCATTCTACCGCATTCAAGATGAAATGAAAACCCTCAAGCAGCAAACGAAGCCACACGAAAAAGTTGGAAGATCTTCGTGGACAATGGATGCGAAGAAATGAATCGAATGTGAGAAGTGCTGGGATCCACACAGTAGACGTGAAGACGGGTAATGTAAAGTGTAAAGTAATAATGTAAAGTAATAAAAAATTGCTAGAGAATAGATATAAAATTCTCGGCACGAGTTCAAAAGTTCCTGAACGCATTATCAGCAAATAATGCCAGACTGGACTCTTATTATTTCGTTGTCAAAACTGTCGCTAACAAGAAGGCGCGTGTAGCGCAGTGATCGGAAAACGCCCTGCAATACACATGGCATGGATCGCCGTGCCCAAGGCTCATCAAACCTTCCACTCCTCCGAGGTCGGCAAATTGGTACCAAACTTGTTTGCGATTGTAGCAGCACTGGCTCCATACATCGGTATGCCGCCGCGGGTCATTCTAAAGGCTAAATATGCATTCGGTCACCTCCGAAAGATGCTTGATGAAGTCGAATGCATGGTGCATCCTTTAGAGATTGATCAACGCCGAGAGCTTTATCCCTTTTTATCTATCGGTAATAAGAATTGATTGATATAAAGAAAAGAACACAAACCTGGATGCGAAATCCCGGAGAAAATAAAGAAAAACCATCATGTTTCTCCAAATCGAATGAATACAAATAGTTAACAGAATGAAGTGTTTACCTTAGATTGCTAATTTTTTCGTAAATCACTTACATCCCTATAAGCCCTCTTACAATGAGGGCATATTCCAGCTGTCAAAGATAATCTTGAGCACGCCTCAATATCATCATCAGACGAAGACAGCGAACAATAATCGGAATGTGACAGACGATCAATAGGAGTTGGTGATGGGTGCAACATACCTGAAAGGCAACTTCTGAAATCGATAAACATTAACAATCATAAAAACGAGGCACTGAACAAGTTCTGAACGCATAAGTTACGCAAAAAGTGTTTAGGGTCAGATTTGAAAGTATGCAGGTCACGCGACGGATGTTAGAACGCTTGGATGGATAACAATGTAGTGCCAACGTGAGTGGGTTCAGTGGAGTATGTTCGAAAATGCACTGCACATCTACGAGTAACGCAATTCGGTAGCTTCATTTACAGATGTCACTTTGAAAATGCACCACATTAGCCTGTACACAAGTAATTCCCAACACTATTTCTCCATTACTATGGCAGACTTTGGCTAAGCCGACCTCGGGACTCCAGGGACCCACAATGGCTGAACCAGTAGAAACTTCGAAAAAGTGGGAATTTATGCTGGAGTCCGCATAACCAGTGAAGACGGGGGCCATCCAAATAACCAAGTATTAACATATTATTTGGTTAACACACTTTCGCAGGACAATATACAAAGTTCTGTTAAATAATAACTTGTTACTGTCTACTGTTTGGTCTAAAGAACCGTAGATCTGCAGCGCATCTGGGACACTTGTCAATGTGTGGTGGATTAGCAGAATTTGAGGTCGCACAAGAAGTACTTCAACTTGCCGCTCTATACAAATACCAGACGTCAAGTGGAATGAGAACATCGTATAAACGTCGTTCATTATAGGTCTGAACAGATGTTCCAATACGATGATGAGATGATCGCTCTTCGACCACACGACAATCACAATAGAAAAAGTGCGAACATGAGCCGAAGAACGCTTAACGGTTCAGAATAGGACATTATGATGCGCAGACGAAAATATGAAGACAAGATGGTCCGTTCATAAAGCGAACAAGGATTTACAGTAAATGCTCCATAGCATGTAGGTCCTTAAGAAACACATGTTCATTGTGGAGCTGATGAGAGGTTGGTATAAATTGTCGGTGTTGTTGTTGGTCAATGGCTGACGTTTCGGCGATTTCACCTTCCTTGGAGCCGTGATGTCTTGCGAGTGGAACTATCCGTGTTGTTCACGGAACAAGAAAGGAAAGAAGGAAGGATTCAAGGAACAACACGGATAGTCCCACTCGCAACATCACGGCTCTGAAGAAGGCGAAATCACCGAAACGTCAGCCATCGACCAAAAAGAAGAGAAGTTCATAGCGTTTTAGTGGGCTTATTCTTTTCACTTCCACTTAGAACACGTTTCATTCACAGCTACTTTAACCTTCTTTAGCAGTAAAATGGTATACGAGAAGTTCAATTCCCAAAAAAGATAGTATTTGTAACCGGAAAAGTAACAAATGCAGATACTTTGAACAAACATTTATGATGTGATCCGTATGAAGCACTTTTATTTACTTATGAAACATTAACGGACTCAACTTAGTTGTGAAGTTAATAAGGTCCGCAGTAATATAGTGGAAACTTCATAGTAATGAGGTGAGATTATCGACGTAACCCGTTTACGGATGACTGCTGATGGCAGTGGTAGACATAAAACTATCTGAGAGAAAGCGGAAACAATATACCCACATGGTGTGGTGGTGAACTCAGCCTCCGGAAAGAGTAATAGCGTGTTCGATGCTCATCGCAGACACCTGCGGTCCGGAGTTGTGGAAATATCTCAGCACCGTTTTGGTTGAATTATCATCATAGTTAACCGGCAAGGGAAAGCATTCTACACAGAAAATACGATAACCTCCTTCAACTGTGGTATTACCACAGCACCATGAAAGTTGTGAAATCACGTCTCGATTCTTTTCTCACTTTACAGTGAAATTTTTGAGCATATTCCTTTCGTAGTAAGACATTTACTTAACAGGAGTCCTTAGACCTAAGAAGAACACCTAGTTCACTTCCCATAAAACAAGAATACATCGAACATTTCTTCTACATAACCCAGTTCTAATTAACAAATGAGCATGGTTGTCCTAGGGCCTACTTGACTAGTCCCAAGTTATGCGGCTGCTGTTGACACTGGTGACATATGGTAAGCTACGAGCTTAAGTATTAATATCTTTACTCGGCCTGTAAAGGATGATGTTAGGAGTATCCCGCGTCACACAAGAGAAGGGATCCCAAGCTCCAACCACCGGGAAGGTATCCGAAGCTTCCACCTCTGTCGACCATCAAAAATCAAAGATGCCTTTCTATACGGCAAACTGTCGAAGATAAGGTGGTCCAGATAAGTAATGCTTATGATCGGCAATCGATGGACAAGAGCCGTTAGTGACTGGATTCCTTGGAATGTCACACGTACTGCAGGAAGACCGCCGACCCGATGGTCAGAGTTCTTCACAAAAAGCCTGGAAGAAAGGTACGATGCTCAACGAGTTCTTAGAGGAAGCACAAACCACTGGGCTACTCTTTCACGCGATACGGAAAAATGGAAGAGTTAATGGCGCCCGCTCGAGTCACAGGACGATCAACGAGACGACAGGTGATACAGGTGATACTCTGGCTGTATGCTAAGAATCCACAAACATCCTCCGAGAGCGCTATCGGTCACGTCTTGAGCGAATGGGAGGTTAGGTGGATCTCAAAACATGCCACTCTAAACGAACATCAAAAAAGACAGTGAAGGTCATAGCATTGACGTTCGAACATATGCGATAACTTTTTTCCACTCAGAGTTGCCAATGTAAATTTTCGTTTATTCGCTAGGAGTAAACAACTAACGGTTCAAATCATAGCAATATACGGATTATGTGGAAGCATTACTTAGATCACTGGCAGAATGATCACAAGGAAAACATCCAAAGCAACCTATTTAAATGTTAGCTCTAGGCGTACTAGGTGATATCTCTACTTGAACTGTACTACTAAAATCTACTAAGGATCTAAGATATTAAGTAAGGCGAATGGCTTACACAAGTCATAGATTAATAATCCTAAACATGACGCAAATTTGCAGACATTCCAGGAAACCCTTTAAACTCAACACATTCTATTCTTCGTACTTTCAATGAGCATGGACTTTTGGGAGTTCTTCAATAAAGGATGAAAGAAAGATGAAAGATAAGATGAAAAGAATCCATGGATTTGCTAACTTTTTTGTTTGCTGCCTAGCTCTCGGCGTTGATCAATTCTTAAGGAATGCGCCATGTATTCGATTTCATTAAGTGTCGGTTGGAGGTAACTGAATGCATATCTGGCCTTTACACCGATGTATCGACCGAGTCCAGAGACAAGTCTGGCACCAATTTGCCGAACCCGGAGGTACGGAAGGCTTGGTGGGCCAGGGGCGCAAGGATCGATTCCACGTGTGTGTCGCAAGGCGCCTCTGACTACTGCGCCACACAAGCCTCTATCTCTAACGGCAGGATATGATGCCAAATATAACCACAATGATGCTGAGATATTTGCAAAACTCCGGACCGTAGGTGTCTGCGGTGGAGAACGAACGCGCTCTTACTCTTTCCGGAGGCTAACGCGTTCGTCACCATACTACGCTGGAATCCATGAATTGTCACTTATCGCTTCACTTTATGCTCAAAAGACGACCAATGAATCAAAGACCAAGCACTTAGGAAGAGATGTCATCTTCATGAAATTTTGGCATACTGTAATAATTCGCGAACATTGTAAATTGGTTATGAAAACTATTAAAGTAATAATACGCGCATGGATTTAAAGGCAACGAGGTGTTTCTGTGTGTTCTAATAGCCGAAGTACAACGAATCGTGACAACTCGCCACATAAAAGGAAAAGTCGTCCGATAGTACTGTTGGTCAGATAATTATCGCAAAGCGACTCGAAAGTTCATCGTCGCCGTTTTCGAAGAACAAAGAAGACTCTGACCATAAGATGTGCGAATGAATGTTTTTAAGATCCAATTAACGAAGCGGCATCAATTTTTCAACTACGTAGGGCCACTGACGATTGCAGATGGATCCATGGCGATGTTTGGGGCGCGTAGCCAACAGTTCTAGCACCTCCTTTGTGACCTCAAGAGGGTCAGCAGCGATGGCCCTGTGGATAGTGGACGACAACGAAATCGAGTGGGACGACTGTTTAAGAAGAATATTAGCCTCAAAATAGATGCATCAAAGAGATGTTAGGACATGAAATAAAAGTGAACAATCGACTTGGGTCACCACGATTCTGAAAAAGGCTAAGAAGCAGAAACCTTCGCCGAATAAGTTTCGAATCGACCTCGTGTTAACTTATCAGTGGAAAGAGCAGGTATTGATTGCTCATGCCGAGGTTAAGTGAAGATCAGTTTACAAAAAGGGGAAATGGAAGTGTTAGTCATCCAAAGACCGGAAAATATCCAAAGGATCCATATCGTGATAAACTACTAGCATGCAGGATTTTTATTGTGCTGAATCATTGCTCTTCCTGCCTCCATTAATCTTATTTTCATCGATTTCTTCTATTTTTTACAAAAAGAAAATGAAGATGGTTAATCACAGTAAACTATGAGCGGTGAAGTGGACCCCAAATGCCTACCGTAATCTCTCGAATAAATTACTAAGTTTTCCTTTCCTTTTGATTTTGCGCGGTAATAAAAATACTGAAGCAGCTCAACTAAGTGAGTTTACCATACCAATGACGAACCAAAGTGGAACTGGAACGGATTCCAATCAACAGTTTTCTGGCCCACATCTCATTTATTTCCATTTCATTAATCAATTCCTTGTTAACAATCATACAACAATTGTCGCAGTCTTTTCACCACATTCGCCAGTGGTTTTTACAGCACTCATCATAAATCTTCAACGAGTAGTTTTCAGCGAATGATTGATCTATATTTTCATTGTTCTAGCTGAAAGTCGTCCGTGGAACACTGACTTGTGTAAACTTCTTGATCAAAGGTCTTCCAGTGCTTCCCAAGTCAATTACGAATCTAAAGAGAAGGTAGTGAAGTATAAAGTGCATTTCTTCCAGTGAACAGTGCACGGTTGCAACCACACAAGCGGTCATTGAAAGAGTGTGCAAGACAAGGTCAGTTGCAAGTGAATGAAAAACCGTAATCTGT